CATCTACTATCAGCTAGGCATGGTGGCATATGCCTGTGATTGCTGCACCTCATAGGCTGAGGCAGGAGGATTGCCGGAAGTTCAAGGTCAGGCTGAGTTATACTGTTGTGTGTATGCATGTGAGTGTGGTTCTCTGGGACCACTAAGGCCGGCAGAGTAATGGTCTGCCTGAGGCAAGAAGGTAGTTCAGTTCAAACCCTGGAGTCTGACCCTGAGTAGTGTTTTAGGCATGTTTAACTACAGCACAATTTGAGGGGAGGGGGAAATTCCTGGTGATAATTAAGTCAATCCTATGTGCACAATAAATCACATAGTAAGCTAAGCAAAGATCAGACAGGAAAGTGCAGGTGACACCTCCATCAAGATGGACTCTGTAGATTGTCTACCTGTGACACCTTCCGTAAAGACAGTATCTAGACTGAGAAAAACAAGGTTACTGTAAGGGTATGTGGAGGATCTAGTATGGTCTCTGGCCATATAGATCGAGCCAGGGTTACCGGGCAATTAACCATGTCAGTCCCAGCCTTCTGGGTGGATAACAGGTTATGCATCTCTCTGCCTTTGAAGGAACACATTCAGATATATCTTTGTGTGTGTTTAATACTCCACGTTCCGATACTTATCTGTGAGTTCAGGACCTCTGTGCCTCCTCTACCCTGTGGCCCTTTTTAGGTTACCTGGATTGCAGAGTAACATCTTGTCTAAAAATTTTAAAAAATCCTGATTTTTTAATTTGATACGTTGAGAGATATGAGGACACTTGTGGGTATGTCTGTGACGACAAGACCATGGCTGTTGGTATGGGAGACAGAGCTGAGGGGGAAGGCTCACACTGACCAGTCAGCTAGGGTACCAACGGAACAAGGTGAAAGAAGGAGCAAACCGTGTGCAAGATGCACTCTAAGCAGACCCACCATGGGCTGCTGCTGTGACCTGTGCTCACCACGTTCCAGCTTCTCCAGTCTTCCACAGCGGACTCCCACCAGGGCCCTTAAGGGAGCCTTCGAGCCTTTAGCCTCAGATGGAGACTATACTAGAACTTTTGTTGTGAGGTTTTCAGTTTTGGGGGTGAGGCACTACTCCAGGTGGTCATTATAGGGCTGTCCAGCTTCCAATAAACCACCGTGAGCACACACACACACACACACACACACCCCACACACACTTTGTCTCTCTGTGTGTATATGTGTGCATGTGTATGTATACCTTTGGAGTGTGGGTGCATGTGCACATGTGTGTTTTTTTTTTTTTCTCTAAACCCCCTGACTAAAGCCTAAGACTTATTAACCATCCATGTCATGGTTTGACTTGTGTTCTCCCCAAACTCACAAATGTTGAGATTAACTCCCAGTTCCCCAGAAGCTGCCCTCGTTTGGGAATGGGGTCTCTGCAGCCTTTGTTGGTTAAGATGGAGTGTTACTACAAGAAGGGTTGGTCACACCATCCGCTTTATCTGGTATCCTCATGAAGAAGGCATGTGAAGAGAATGTCCTATGAGGACGAAGACAGAGGTTGGGGTGATGCTTCCATAAACTAAGAGAGGGACGTCAACAACTGCCATATATCCAATCCAGAGACGAGGGACGGACGGATGGACCGTCTCTCACACACTTCAGAAGGAACCAAGACCACTAACGTTTTGAGCGTGTAGCCTCCAGAGCCGGGAGAGATAGAGTGCAGCTCCGCTAGCCACCCACTCTTTTGCAGCACACTAACGCGGGACATTTCTGCTTATTACGGAATGGAAATTTATTACCAAAGAGAGTACAGGCAGCTGTATACTTGAGTTACGTGGTACACGAAACAAGAGGAGCATGAATTCTCAGACTTCTGAATGCACGCTGCGGCGGGACTGTACAGCCTTGCTTTCCACAGCCGCCGCCCACTCTCGTGTGCCTCTCTGGTCTCCTGGACTAGACGCCTGATCAATATTTGCATCTTGCAAATGGACGAGGCGTAGGTCAGGACACAATGAGCTGGCAGGAACAGGACGTTTGGAAGTAACCATGGAGACACGGGGTGCCTTCACTGGTAAGATAAAACTGCCTCCACACAAGCTCCTTTCAGGAGGCCTCGAGACCTGAAAGGCTGCAAGACCTTCCTGACACGAAGGTTGGGCACACTGTCTGCCAGCTCTTCGTGACTGGCCATGTGGGCAACCTTTTGGGCTGTCATTATTCCCTCGGTAAAAAGGAATTCATAGACGACAACTTTCTTCTTGGTTATCCATATTGTTGGTTCAGGGTCCGGGTCGGAGGCTCTGCTCCTCTTCCTGCACCAGTCGCTCTCATTAGCATCTCCGGAGTTTCTCCTAGCTTCATATCGGAACGTTCCTCGCTGTCTGAGTCTTTATCGTCTCTACTCTCTTTATTTCATATTTTCTTTTGTCTTCCTCTGACACTGCCCTAAATCTGCCCTTTCTACGACTCAAAATGTTTCCTTTTAGTATCAACTTTGTCCTTTACTGGTTTTGTTGTAGACAGTAATTCTGATGTCCTGCTTTTCTTTCTTCGCGTGCCTTCTGGTTCTGGCTTCATGAAGATCATGCTTCTTTCTGGGTAAAATAATTGAATGAATGAATGAATGAATGCATGAATGCATGCATGAATGAATGAATGCATGAACAGTAAGTCTCACCGTATGGAGCAAGCCAGTTTCAGTTTAGGAGTCTCCTCCTGCATAAGCACCTACGTGCTGGGATTACAGGTTCAAAGTGCTCTCTGGTATATAACTTTATTGTTAACAAATACAGACGGTAGGAGTTAGGGATTCTAACTCAGTGGTACAGTGCTTGTGAAGTAAATGGAACACTCTTGGCTTGTTCGTAACATCTCCACAAACAACGAACAAACGAGGACGAATAGAAAAGATAAAGTAGACCAAGAAGTTTATTGGTTTGTTTTTTAGATGTGTATGGGCATCTTGCCTGTACGTATGTCTGCGCACCACTTGTGTGCCTGCTACCCACAGAGGCTAGAAGAGGGCATCTGACTCCCCGGAACGGGAGTTACAGATGGTTGTGAGCCTCCATGGGGTACTGAGAATTGATGGTCTCAGGTCCTTTGGAAGAAGAACTAGTGTTCTTAAGTGCTGAGCCACCTTGCTAGACCCCAAACATTATTTTTTTTTAAAAAATTGGAGTAAAGTATAGTTGACATAAAAGTCACCATTTTTATTTTTTTAACCCCCCCTTTAAAAATTATATCATCATCATCATCATCATCATCATCATCGTGTGTATATGTGGACACTCATGTGGAGATCAGAGGACCACTCTGTGACATCATTTCTCTCTTTTTGATCTTTCCATGGACTTTGACGTCTTCTAACTGCCGTTTCCACCTCCAGACCTTGTCTTAAGTCTCCCAGGCAGGTTTAAGATCATTTCTCATTTCTGTGACTGGGCTCTCTGTTTCCGTAGTTTGGTTTTGAACTCCTGGGCTCCAGTGATTGCTCTTAGGTAGCAGGGACGATAGGTGTACACTGTGTTGGGCTCTGTTCTTTGTTTTGTGCCTCTCTCTTTCAGGTGACAAATGGTTTTCAGTAGTAACCATGAGGAAAAAAATCAGTCACTCTAATGGCCGAAAAGAAACCATGGAAAATGGCCTTGTTTTGAATCTCTATGCAATCGTGCTAGCAGGATATAAGAGAAAATAAAAGGTAAATATGTCTCCATAGAAAAGGCATAACGCATGGTTATTTACTCAATGATGTTAATAGCCACACAACCGATTGAACTTTGATCTTCTGTGTGCTGTGCTGTAACTAATTGCTCAATAACTGTGAATATTGCTGAAAGGAAATGTCTGCAATGAGAGTCATTTAGACAGCTACTAAATAATACTTACTAATGTCATGTTTAATTTCCTCAACCTGTTCTTATACACAAAGCAAGAAATAAGCCTTTATTTTTTCTTCTTTTGAATCAGAGATTGAACTCATCACATATCAGAGGCACACAAATCTCTGTAATTCTAGCTCCAAGAAGTCTGCTTCCTCTGCCTCCCAAGAAAACACACACACACACACACACGCACACAGACACACATACTTTTTCTAGATGTGATACTATTAAAATGTACCTGCACCTATAGCAGTTGTTAGAATTTGAGCCAACAAGTTTATACAAGTTTACACACACACACACACACATATGTGTGTGTGTGTGAATGTTTGGAAGTAGTATGCTGTCAGTGTCATTATTCAGAAGTATTTAGAATTTATCATCATGGTGCCAATGAAAAAAATCTTATCATCTCTTAAGAGTTTTTAGTATTGTCTCAAAATCTTCAGAGACGATATACCCTCTGAGTGCATGCTGCCAGGACAGAGAAGGCTCTATTCTTGGGACACCACTAATCCACACTCGTATGGGGGACTGTCCCACATTGACTCTTGGCTTGGCCTGTGGTTTAAACAGCTTTGCCATTTAAAACAAACATTTTCTTTTTTACTTATGAGCATGCGTGCACGTGTGTGTGTGTGTGTGTGTGTGTGTGTGTGTGTGTGTGAATGTGAATAAGTGCACATACCTCTCATTTTGTGGAGGGCATTACATCTGTCACTACCGAAACTTACAAGCAATTATATGCTACCTGTAACAGGTGCTGGACACTGTTCCTGCGGTGTTCTAACGGCTGAGTCATCTCCCTAGCCCACTTTACTGTTTTTGTTTTGAAGAAGGCCACAGGAAACCTAAGCTAATTTGTATATGTGTGGCCATGTGGCCCAGCCAACTCCAGACCTAACCACCAAACAAGTGAGCCATCAGACAGTGCAGCTTCAGTGAAGCCACCAGGACATCAGGCACACGTGTAGCTCCAGGCAAGAAAAGTACATGATTCTGAGCTCAACCCAGATTCTCTGATCCGTGGAATTATGAAAAAATAACAGAGATTCTGTCTGAAAGCAGTGTTCTGTGGAGCTTGTTTTTTATATAGCAATGTATAATTAACATACTATGATGTGAGTTTTGGCTTTCATCCTAAGTGAGATGGAAAGGTTATGAACAAAAACAGGAAGCAGAAGAGAAAGTTGTGTGCCAAGAAGTGACAGGATCTGACCTTTCGGAACCATTGCTTTGATTGCTGCACTGAAAAACAAGAGCAAGCGAGCCAAGGAATGATCGGGCAAGCCATCAGGAAGACCTTGCAGCGAGCCAGCTAACACATGCTGTTTCTTAGTCCACGTCAAAGGCAGGTAAGAAGAAATAGAGTCTGGGTTCTGAATCTATAATGGTATGCTGATATTTTGAAAGTAAATGTGATGGCTAGTACTGATTGGTGATTTGAGTTGTGCCTAGGAAATTGCTAAGCACATATCTAGAGACGGTTAAAGAGGAGGCCAAGCTCCATCTGAAATGCGGTACCACCTGCTAGGTGAGGGGCCTGGGATGGAGTAAAAACAGTCACCAGCAATGTGACTGCTCTGGAAAGGGATCACAACCAAATGCCTCCCAGGTCTGTGGCTAGAATATAGACTCAGCTTTAATCCCAGATGATGAAGGTAAATTTAGTTTGTAGAAGGAAGCAGCCATGTTTGAAAGTGACATCTAATTGAGGGGCAGACAATGTGATGAATCAGAGAAAGATTTGACAGAATGAGTCAAAGATATACTCAACTCTCACAAGAACATCGCAGGAGAGAGAGGCAACTTAGAAGAGTAGGACACAGAGAGAGAAAAACTCTGTTATGTTCATCTTGTTCTTGAGTTCCATTTCAGTTTGTGCAGTTCACGAACTGCAGGTCAGCAGAGGCAGTTGAAGCCAGAGAATGAAAGGGAGCCAAAAGATTAGAATGAATTACCAGTTAGTTTTCGGCCAAGCAGAACAACTCAGTCAGAAGCTCAGGGAGGACAATTTGAGTTGGTCAACTTAGAGAAGAGTTCAAACCAGAACAGCTGAGTTGAACCAGCCAGCCAGAGTTCAAAAGAATTAGAAAGAGTAAGCTTACTCAGCAGTAAACCTCCAAGACTACAATTACATCTGGTGAATAAAAGTTGTGTTTACAAAAGAGGAAGTCAGGTGTTATAGTGTCTTCTCTGCCTGTGCCCTGGCTGAGTGATATGAGTTGTCACGCCTTCCTGTGATGATGGGAAAACTTCTGAAACTATGGGGTGAGATATACAGTTCCTCTCTCTGTCCTAACAGACACAATAGAGGAATCGAGGAATGTGGCAAAGATCACACCAGAGAACTGACACAACAGATTTATTGGGGGTGGGGGGCTATGTAAGTGTTTCTACTTAGATGGAAGGGTATCCTAAGACTCTGGCACCCAAGAACCACACAGCTCTGAGGTGGGACAGTGTCCCAAGGGAAGGTCACCCTGAGATATGGAGCCAAGGGACCACATAGCTCTGAGAGGAACCCTCCTCAGCAGAGGTGTTGCAGCTCCCAGGGGAGGCTATCCCCAGCTGAGCTGATGAGCTCGGGAGCCTCAGCCTCACCCCTTCTTCCCTTCTTTCCCACTTCTTCTCAGCTTCTTCCAATGAGAGAGTCACTGCAAGCAGTAAATCTCATAAAGGAGACTTATTGAAGGGAAGAATCCAGAAGAAAAGAGGAAGGAATCCAGGGCTGGATGCTCTCTATTCCTGGGAGTGGACAGTGGGGAACTGGACAAAGCGACAGTACTCATATAGGACTTCTGAGGGGGCAGAGCTTCTTAGGGCAGAGATTTCCAGTGAAGATTTGTGGGATTTCAAATCCTGAGTTTAGGGGAGCTCAGGGATTAGTGAGGGGTTTACTGCTTAGGGATTGGGATTGGTGAGTTTTTATGGGAAGCTCAGGGATTGGTGGGTTTTCCTGCTCAGAGATTGGTGGGTTTTTTCACCCCCTTTTTCCTGCATCAGGCCTATGTGTTACGGTGGGAAGTCTTTCCAGGCTGCCTCAGGCTTTTGCTGAGGCACCATCTCTGTGGGGCTGCTGGAGTGTAGGGAGGGCTGGAGAGGAGGTGCTGCCACTATGGACAGCCCCTATGGGGACAACTCTTGCAGTGGTGTTTTATGAAAGCTGTAGGCTGAGGCAGGAAAGGCAGTGTGCCACCATGGACAGCTCCTGGGGAGCTGCAGGCTGAGGAGTTGTGGTTCCACTATTTTGACAGAAGCCGCCATTTTGAACAGCCCCCCACAAACATTTTATCATGGCTGCCATAGGCTGAGGTAGGAAGGAGGAGCCTGCTGTGGCTTTAAAGGCTTTTGTGGGACAGTGGCTTTCATGGTGTACTGCTGGGGATATACTGTCTGAGGACAGAAAAGGAGACAGGCTGTGAAGGTATGAGCTATACGTGACTTGTGGTGACAGTGGAAATGTTTCTCATTTGGCTGCTGGCGCTGACTTGGTGCTGAGTCACTGAAGACAAGCTAGGGGAGCACTTGGTTCTAGAGTGTGGGTGGCTTTGGTTTACCAACATTTCTACCTCTTATTTATCATAAAAGGCGAGGGAACAGGAAGGGCAGGTGAGGCAAGCCCTTTTGACTGCTTCCTGCTATCTTGGGGCATCAACATCTTTGTGGATCCGAGAAAACTGAGATCTTGGCCACGCCCAGGAAAAGCAGGCTGTTTCACTTGCCATCCAGGCTCTTCAGGACCATCTGTGGTTAGGGCAGTGCAGGGAACGTCTGTAAAGCTAGACTACCTGGGGCTTACTGCTTTGAAGCTGTCCTGGATACAAGTCTTGAGGAAACACCTGGAGCTGGATAGTGGCTAGAAAAAAGTAAAGTTAAGGTGTTTAGGGGAAAAGTTTTATCTTGGGTGTACATTTGAAGTTCTCCAGCCCATAGTCCTGGCAACTGTGTGAGGAGAGTCAAAAGACCAGGGAAGAGGGAGAGATCCTACCCTCAGGAATAGGCTGTAGACAGGAGAAAGGCTGTTGGTTGACAGGAGTGCTTATCTGGACTCTGTTTGACCTGTGAGAGGTGCATCCAAGTTCATTTTCTGAAGCTTACAAGAAAAATGTCAAGTTTACAAAATGAGATAAGTTTTAGATCCATTAGCCCTACCGCTATAATCTGTACTGAAATCCACATTGTAGAAAAGGCAGTAGACTCACACCTTTGAGTCATGGTAGAAAATTGGGAACTAAAAATGATTCTGGGTTAAAACATGAACACTCTTTCCAGAGGGCTGAGTGTCTAGATTGGGCAGCACAGTGAGAACATTTTTACGTCTATTCTTAGAAGACAACCTAAACAAATGTAAAATCTTGAGCTCATGACTACGATGAGTGTAGTCATGGCTTGCCAGAGCTAGACTAAATAGCTCACCAGAACTCTATTGATTAATGTTGAAATTCTGAACCTTTGAAGTCTTAATATAATTGCATAGAGAGGGAAAGAAACCTGAAACAATTTTCATTTTTACATACACTTTAAATCACGTTCTCGTTTTTTACAAATTGCATTTACACACCTTAAAACATTCTTAGACCTTTATAGCTTGCATTTATATATCTTTTTTAAAGATTTACTTTACGTATATGAGTACACTGTAGCTGTCTTCAGACACACCAGAAGAGGGCATCGGATCCCAATACAGACGGTTGTGAGTCAGCAGGTGGTTGCTGGGAATTGAACTCAGAACCTCTGGAAGAGCAGTCAGTACTTTTAACCACTGAGCCATCTCTCCAGCCCCATTTATATATCTTAAAACATATTTTAGACCCTTACAACTCACATAAGTTCCCATATCTTATACCTTACACAGACTTTACACTTTTGTCTATGCAGTCATTTACCACGAGACACAGGTGGGTGATTACTGAGGGCAGCCACTGTAAAGCAAGTTCTTTAGATAGAGGAATAGTAACAAGTTAGATGGAAACGTTTGTAAGTTTATCTCTTTTCAGAGTCTGGTGGAAAGGGTAAACCGTGTCTAGACCTACCGGTAGCTCTAAGAAGAAGAGGCCTGAGGACTCATTTTTACACATGAAGAGAACTGAGAAGACAGCAGAAGCCTTGGTTGCGTCTCTTAAACTCATAGAGCTACCATCACCCTAGTTGTCAACTCCATCAGAGATCTGAGAAGGAGAAATTTCATCAGAGTAAGCAGAAAATATGGATCAAGAAGCTCCAGAGTCTAATAAAAATGACAGACACTTACTGGCTACCTGAACAATCACCCTAGGTTCCTTCGTGGTTATTTTTATTTCATTGGGGGCAAAGGACTCAGGATAGTATCATTCTTCACTGCCAGGCCCACAAAGTCCAACAGACTTTCCTGTGGAGTAGGAACTTGGTAACCAGCCTACCTTGTCTAAGCAAAGCAGGGCAATTCACTCCCCAGGGTCCTGGTCCTGGAGATGGTGAAGGACAATTTTTCACCCAATGGACAGCCTTGCCACATTTAAAGCAAGCTCCCGATGGAATTCTTTTGTATCCTGTCATCACCTGAGGAGTTGCTGGGATCACTTCTCTGTCATAGTGAGCCCTTTCCAGTAAACATTTTAAATGCCACATTCAGCAGATCTCTGAAACGTTTTGAAGATCATCATCTTTTATATCTAAACTAAACCGACTTTGCTTGTTTCTAGTTGCTCATTTTGGGCTTATCTTTGAAAACATATACAGGAGACTAAATAAGGTTTATTCCTGTAATTAACTACAATAGCATTTAGCAAGGCTACCAAGTAGAGGTCTGAACACATTAAGAATTTGGTAATTTATAACATGACTATTAACTTGTGTGTCCTTTTTTTCTTAGTTTTTATTCATAATCATAAACGTGACTTTGCAATCCAGTTAGACTTGGAGAAGAACTTCAGTGAGAGCAGAGATTACAGGGTATGGTGAGCAGATGTGGTGGGGGTGTTCTCCTGAGCTACAGAAGGAATGGTTTGATGGGTAAAACACCCGTAAGTCAAAAGAAATTAGAGTCGTTCACAGTTGGAAATGGTGAGCTTCTTGCTGGTCTTGCTATTCCTGGACCCAAACCGCTCCATGGCTTCCACAATGTTCATGCCTTCTTTCACCTTCCCAATGACCACATGCTTGCCATCGAGCCATTCAGTCTTGGCGGTACAGATAAAAAACTGGGACTTGTTGGTATCAGGCTCCTAACCCAGTGATATCACATCTAGGCAATCCCCACATCATTGCCAAGGCAACCACCATACATTCCCAGAATCCACCTGGCTACCTCCCTCCCTTATCTGCGAGAGGCTATATCACTACCCATATAAATAGGCAGAGCCCCCTGACCTCTCTCTCTTCTTACTCTTCTCCCCCCCACACACCTTTGCCCTATCTCCTGAATAAACCCCACTTGGAACCGTTCGGTCTGTTGCTGTCTGTTCCAAGCCACGTGTGAACGAACATCAGGCATAGTATGTCTTAACAAATATAACCTTAAATTCTTATCATCATGCAAAAATCCATACTAATCCAAATATTTTGGTGACTTGTTTCCTTAGTCTACAAAAGAATTACGATGATAAACAGAGAGCTCATTAGGACTAAGAACTTTTATAATTGTTGTTCTATGCCAAATGGTCATCTGAAGATGTTGGTTAAGTCGCATGACATGTACCTTTTTACCTTAATAAAGATGGCTGCCAGCCATGTGCTGCTTACATCTCTTGATAAGGTCATTAGCCAAGATGGAGGAGAAGCACATGGTTTTTCTACTAGATATAGATTTTTTTTTTTTTCGAGACAGGGTTCCTCTGTGTAGCCCTGGCTGTCCTGGAACTCACTCTGTAAACCAGACTGGCCTCAAACTCAGAAATTCACCTGCCTCTGCCTCCCAAGTGCTGGGATCAAAGGCGTGCGCCACCACTGCCCGGCAGGTTTTTTTTTTTTTTTAATGAGAATTGAATCCAAGTTATACACACACTTACACGAATATAAAGTTGAATCCAAGTTACACACACACACAGTTGAACTCCAGTTACATACACATGTAAACAGACATGTAGTATTGATGCCAAGTTATAAACACGTGTACATATATTCTAAACAAGAGTTGAATCATGTATAATATGCTATTGCCAATTAAAATGACTGGTGTATAGGTTATTAATTATAAGCCTTTAGTTATAAATTAAAGCCATTTTTTCTTACAGATTTTATAGATTTTAAACCATACCCAATGGATTTATAAATCTTGAGACAGAATTTGTAACACGATATTAAGAAATCTTTTTTGGGAGTAGAGTGCAGAAAAATAAAAGCGATAAAAGATTTTGAAGAGTAGAAAGTAGAGAAGATGGAGCTGAAAGCAAAGAAGGAAGCTCCTGCCTCTTTCAAAATGAAAGCCAAAGGGAAGGCCTTGAAAGATAGGAAGGCAGTGCTTGAATGTCCAAGGACACAAAAAGATCCGTATGGTCACCCACCTTCAGGCAGCCCAAGACCCTGCAGCTCAGAGGCAGCCCAGATACTCTCGAAAGAGTATACCCAGGAGAAACAACCTTGACCACTGTGCTATCATCAAACTCCCACTGACCACCAAGTCAGCCGTAAAGAAGAGGGAGGACAATGACATGCTTGTGCTCACTGTGGATGTCAAGGCCAGCAAGCACCAGACCAAAACAACAGTGAAGTAACTCTATTACACTGACGTGTCCAAAGTTAATACCTCGATAAGGCCTGACAGAGAGGAAGGTGTATGTTCATCCGACTATGGTACTCTGTGTGTTGCCAACAAATCTGGATCATCCTGAATCCAGCTGCCTAATATATACTCCAATATATGCTTTGTCACCATAAAAAAAGTAAAGAGTGGACAGCAGAGAAAGTGTAGATTGGAACGAGTTTAGATAGAAGATACTTGTGAATCTTCAGTGTAATGGCAGTTACGATTGGTGAGAATCTGGAAATCAGGTGCCCCAATTTTTTTTTTTTGATCACTGATCTGTATCAAGGCCAAGCTCTTGTAATAAAATCTCCGTCTGTGGAGGAACAGAGAGAGGATCACAAAACAAAATTCTACTGGAAGGATGTCTCTGAGCTCCGAGAGGGTAGCTGAGCAAGCAGGAGCTGCCAGTTTTTAACACACAACACCTAGGGGGAGGCAAGGAAATGCAATACGCTGGCCCAGGAAGCCTCAAAGAGAGAGAGTGTGTGTAGCGGGTGTCCACACGGGTGTAGCAGGCTACAGAAGCCAGAGAGACGCATAGGTGCCCACATCAAGGGCATAGTAAGCCAGAGCCCATAGAGCAGAGACAAATGGTTAGAAAGCAGGTAAAGGGAGGCTGCAGCTGGAGAACTCTAGAGTCTGGACTCTAGAATTTGGACTCAAATGTGGTGGGTGGCAGAAGCCAGCAGAAACCAATGATCTGTACATACTTTGTGAGAGTCAGATGAGCAGCTTGGTTGGGAGTGGATGCTGCAGGCAACTCTCATAAGGACAACATTTTATTGGGGCTGGCTTACAGGTTCAGAGGTTCAGTCCATTATCATCAAGGTGGGAGCATGGCAACGGGCAAGCAGGGACGGTGCTGGAGGAGCTGAGAGTTCTACATCTTGTTCCGAAGGCAAACGGGAACTAGGACAAGGGTCTTAAAGCCTATACCCTCAGTCACACACTTCTTCCAACAAGGCCACACCTCCAAAAAGTGCCACTCCTTGGGCCAAGGATATACAAACCATCACAAGGGCCTACCTTTTCTGTTTCCATCCTCACAAAGAGGCAGCCTTTTGTATCACCCCCAATAAATCTCTGGCATTAGGTCTGTCACATGGTGTGATCTTTGCATCATTGCTTGGCTCTCTAAATGCAAAAAAAAAAAAATCTAATATTGGTGTCGTGTGACTCTGTAGGCTATCCCGGTGCTTTTGTTCCCCTCTGTGGGGTCTGAGCTGCGTTGGGACCCCATTGTTTCTCTCCAGTTCACCCACAGCTGATTCTCTGGTGACCTGGGAAGTGGAGATACCCACCCCACCACAGACCCTGTCCCTTCAGCTAGGCTTCATTTTTGAACTTCATCCTTCATCTTTTGGCTTCAGAAGTCCTGGTACTGAGCACCGAGACGTTCTGACTCCCAGGAAGTGTGGTAGAAACCCCCTGAAATGCTTGTGTCTTCCTTGTTTGGTCCTCCTTGAGTCCTGAGAACGTCCTGATAGGAACAGTGACATCCATAGCTTCTGTCTACACTACACACACACACACACACACACACACACTCACTCACACCATGCCTCTTATAAAACCTCCAGCCTTTCCAGCTGCCGCTTGACCTGAAGGGCCCCAAATTTATTTTCTTTCACAATAAAATCTGGCCTCGATGTCCCTTAGGTAATCAATCCAAATGTGGCTGACTAGCAGCAGCCTAGATTCCAACAGTCTTCGGGATCGTTATAAATACTGCGAGTAACTGAGGGGAAAGGAAGAGATTCTCCATTCCCTAGTTCTCTTTTCTCTGCTCCAAGCTGTTTGTTTTGTCTGGTCTCCCCTACAGGCTGTATAAATGCCCCATCTCTTAAGTTACAGTTGATGGGCCTGAAAGATTGTTACAAAGTGAGCCGGGAGCTGGACCTAGCAGGAGGGGGAGAAAGCGATGGAGCAGCCCAGCTGCCGCTGGCATTCTGTCTAGCCCAGACCCTTGGCTGGCTGGTGGTGAAGCTCTCTGTCTGCCTGCAGCACCCACTCCCAACCACGCTGCTCATCTGACTCTCATAAAGTATGTACAGATCATTGGTTTCTGCTGGCTTCTGCCACCCACCACATTTGAGTCCAAATTCTAGAGTCCAGACTCTAGAATTCTCCAGCTGCAGCCTCCCTCTACCTGCTTTCTAACCATTTGTCTCTGCTCTATGGGCTCTGGCCTGCTATGCCCTTGATGTGGGCACCTATGTGTCTATTCACAGCAGTAAAACCCTAAGAAAGCCATGAAGGTGTAAACTTTGTATAACATATTATACATATTACTATATAACACGTTACAGATACATTATATACATACACTAACATAGTGTAACATAGTCTAACATAATATGCAGCTCATGACAACAGTAGGACAGTGGAATTGTGTTGATTTGGTAGCTGGTGGTGACACGGTCGCTGGTGCTGTGTCACTGAAGTCTGCTTAGGGGAGCACTTGGTTCTAGAATGTGGATGGTTCTTGGTTTACCAACACACTCTCAGTTGTTCCCTCAGATATTTGTCACAACCATGGCCAGTCA